GCCTGGGCAACATGGTAGAACCCCATCTCTACTAAAAATGCAAAAATTAGCTAGGCATGGTGGCATGTGCCTGTAGTCCCAGCTACTTAGGAGGCTGAGGTGGGAGGATTGCTTGAGTCTAGGAGGTCAGAGGCTGCAGTGAGCCAAGATCGTGCTACTGTACTCCAGCCTGGGCAACAGAAAAAAGATAGGAAGGAAGGGAAAGGAAAGAAAAGGAAGAAGAAAAAAAGAAAGAATATAAAGGAAAGGGGAATGGTAATCCGTGGGGGATGTCCATAGGCAGTGAGAGAGAATGGGAGAGGTCAGAGGAACTAACGTTCTCCAGGAGGGGAGATGCTTCTTCCATTCACACAACAGGAAAGGAGACAAGGATTAGAGCATCTATTTGTTTTGTTTTGTCTTTTTAAGTTTAAGGCAAGACCAAGAATGGGTGGTGGAGAGTCACTTGAGGAGACCATAAAGGCTTGACAAAGCTGACTTGTGGAATGGGGAGAAGGCTGACAGGTAGGACCAGTGGGTATGGGGAGGGCCTTGTCAAGGCCACAGATTGGTAGTGGCATGGATCCAAACAGTGCTGCAATTCTCCTAAAAGCTCTCAAGGTGTAAGAACAGAATTTGATTGATTCACTGTTAGATTTTGCCAGTGGATGAGACTTAAGGTCCAAGGTTCTGGATGATTGAAAGTATGAATTGAAAGTGATCGGGGGCTGGGTGCAGTGACTCATGCCTATAATCCCACCACTTTGGGAGGCCAAAGCAGGTGGATCACCTGAGGTCAGGGATTCAAAACCAGCCTTAGCAACATGGTGAAACCCTGTCTGTACCCAAAATTACAAAAATTAGCCAGGTGTGGTGGCACATGCCTGTAGTCCTAGCACTTTGGAAGGCCAAGGCAGGAGGATCACCTGAGGTCAAGAGTTCGAGACCAGCTTGGCCAACATATTGAAACCTCATCTCTACTAAAAATTAGCCAGGCATGGCAGTGGGTACCTGTAATCTCAGCTACTCGGGAGGCTGAGGTGGGAGAATCACTTGAACCTGGGAAGCGGAGGCTGCAGTGAGCTGAGATCTCACCACTACACTCCAGCCTGGGAGACAGAGTGAGGCCCTGTCTCAAAAAAAAAAGAGAGAGAGAAGAAAAGAAATAGTGGCCAGGGGCTGAACAATGGGCTGGAGACTAGGTAAGGGAGGAGGGAAGACAGCAAGGGGCTGTATGTGAGCAGAGAGAGACAATGTACGAAATGTAGGAAGGCAAGAGAGCTAAAAAGCAGGCTGGGGTCAGAGGTAGAATATAGAGGTTTGGGATTTCAGAAAGAGCAGTTCTAGACCAGATGTGGTGGTTCATGCCTGTAATCCCAGCACTTTGGGAGGCCGAGGCAGGAGGATCAATTGAGGTCAGGAATTCAAGACCAGCCTGGCCAACATGTTGAAACCCCATTTCTACTAAAAATTAGCCGGGCATGGTGGCGGGTGCTTGTAATCTCAGCTACTTGGGAGGCTGAGGCAGGAGAATCGCTCAAACCCCAGAGGCAGAGGTTACAGTGAGCTGAGATCACACCATC